CACATAGTCATAGTCATTAATAACTACACATACGAAGAATATATAATATTTTAAGAAAGTTAAGCTTATAGAAGCAGTCTTTTTAATCTAAAACCTCTCATAGAGCAATTACATCCTTCAAAACTTCTCCAAAGAGAAAAGTAACAGAAGAAACCACCTACAAAAATTGTACAATAAAAAAGTGTTAGACATAGACAGCATAGAGCATGATTACCTAGGAATTTGTCCAAACATATACCATATTTATCTATGAGTTTTCTCATATCCAAAAATTATATACTCATTTTCACTTTGTATCAAAATAATACAACCTTTTAGGCACGCTCAATATAGTCCTCACTCACATACTATCAGGTCTTTTCTTATTTATTATTATTATTTTTTTAATTTGGAGTGATTTATAGAATACTTATAGTATTTAAACAAGTACGATGGAGGTGCCTTAACACATATAACATCCATAACACCAAAGAATATAGGAAATAGGTCATCGTACTAAGAAAACAAATTATATATGTCATAAAACTCATCGTTACAAGATCCAGAGTCATTAAACAAATTAATCAAGCATTTGAAATCAGAACCAAGTTGGAGTTGGCCTGATTTTCCAAGCTACTTTGATATCTTAGCAAGGTCACAACCTCCAAGACACCAATTAAGCTTAGATGACTAATGAAGAGGGTAGCTATGTTCCATTCTATTGATTAGAATCATAATGCATTTGTGCTTTATTGTCAACTAAATTAAATATTCTTAATTTAAACAATATAGAAATGGTGTGAGGAGTGCAAAAACCACGTTCAAACCTAACACTTTGCATTAATTACCAAGGTTGCTTACGTCATATAAGAACCCATTTCTCTGATAGTTTACGTCATACACTCAACTCTGGTGGAAAACTAATAGAAAATTTAGAAAATAAATAAGAGTAATAACATATTATTATTTCTCGAGATTAACAATGATTGTTAATATAAATGATACAACATCATAGATGCATACTCAATTTTGAGGATAATCCTTGACTATCTTATATGTCATGAGATAGAGCTCGTTGAAATGTCCGAGCCCCATAGCTACTGTTAAATGCACAAGAGTACATGAAAGGATCGTTCTCAAGCAATCTGAATTAAATCATGTATATCGACACAAGTGACATTGGTCTAGTAATAGAAGTAGATAGCATCATTCTGTTCAAACAAAATAATATACCCAAATTGACATTAGTTGAAAGCATTTCTGGTATTCACCACACCGATGATTCCATTATGATGTTACGCCATTTTTTAAACAATAAAACACAAATACAGGCATATGACAATGATATAATGCATGACATAACCGATTTATACAATTACTGAACTGCTTTGTTGCACGTGCCATATTAAAGAAAAGCATTGTAACAAATCCTAACACTCCTAGAAGCTTTTTCACAACACTCCATAAGCTACAAATTAAAGAAAAATGCTTTTAATGACTCCTGACACTCATATAAAAGCTTCCACTAATGGCTCCGATTTAACTTAAAGCCAAACAAATTTTAACAAAATATCTTAATCAATTGACATTGAAATCCATCCTTGTTTTGCCTCATAACTAACATCAATGCACACACATGCATCAGTATGGCTAGCATAATATAAATTTTTGAAGTAATCAAAAGGGATCATAAGCAATCCCAAGACAAACAATTGATATTTGGGGCTCCATTGAAATCGAGGACAAAAAGAGTATTACGGTACTTAGGTTTCTCTCATGCAATTACACACATATCAAAGTTGCTGGAAGGACATGCGCTTCTGACAAAGTCATGTTTGCATACCTATCAAAGTTATGACGGCTCCCCATCATTCTTCACTGCTATTCCCGTGGGAATTCTGCTTATCCCTGCACTTAACTCACATAACACTATTTTTCCTCTGATGTCGGTTTTTGTTCAAGGAGCTTGCACTACATATTCGTAAACTAGAATCACTGGCATTAACATCGTAGGATAAACCAGAGGTAGGAGTTTGAAGGGAAAAGTTTTGGCTGAAAAGCTGACTCGCCATGGAACTCTTCATTGTTTCCAAGAAGTGACATTGTCCGTCTTTCCTGTCGATGGTACTCGCACCAACTGTGAGAATCCATGGAGCCTCATTTGATAAAGAAAAGTTAGATGGACCACTATTTCTTGCCGAACAACTAACCAGGATCCCTCTTTCCATTGCACTAAATGCGCCTAGTGCAATGTTATCTGCATAGAAATTGATGGACAATCTACCAAGAGAAAGGGAAAGCACATCTATGCCATCTTCAACAGCAGCGTCCATTGCAGCAAGTACAACGCTTTCGAACAGAAAAATGAGCAAAATTTATAAATGGCCAAATGAGCGAGTGGAGCAATACTTGTTATAGTCCCATTAGCATTGCCAACACATTGGCACCATTCACAAAGTTTCCAGCACCAGTACTTGCAGTGTGTGTGCCATGGCCATCATCGTCTAGTAGCGTTGTTTCTCCCCTGATGAAAGTCCTAACTCCAATGAGTTTGTCATTACAAGTAGTAAAATTGAAATCACACCTAGTTACGGATGCAAACATTATGATTTAGTGGGGCACAATTAAACTTGCAAAAAATACATATTTACGTTTATACAAATATCACTATGTTTGTCATCATTTTTATTTTCGACATCATTTTCATCACTTTTATCTCGAATATTCATTTCATTAACATCGTGATCATAAAAAAACGCATATTTACGTTTAAATTATTTTTCCATCACAATTAATTCAGGTGAAAAATACAAAAATTACAGCAATTCTGAATGTTAAATTATCAAATGCATTCTAGTTCAAAGAAAGACAAAAATCACAACAAGAATCCATTATCATAAAATTGTCAAAACAAAATAAAAATTGGAGCACTTAAATGGATCACTAATTCCATTTCAGAAGAAAATACAAAAAAAAAAAAAAATCATAAAAAAGAAATAATTTCCTGAAAAATGAGGCATATAACTTTTGATGAATGAATCTTTCACGTTCTTTAAAAAATTAAAACTTCATTCAAAGTTTTTCAGATTTTCCATAATGGAGTTCTTCTGCTTCAAATCTAATTTCCCTCCAATAAAAAAAAAAAAAAACTCAATTTTAAATTGGTGGGTCAAGTGACCCAGTAGGACCCACCGTGGGTCCGCCAGTAACACTTTCCCTTCCATTTTGCAGTGGAGGTGGCATCCCTTCGTCTCTAAACGAAGGGTGGTCGGGGAAGATTCCGCAGCCAATTACACCAATGCATATTTTGGTTTAACCCCAAGAAATTTGGACTGTGGGTTGCGTGCAAAGAATATTTTTCTTCAGGAAGCGCTGAAATGAAACCTTCCTTCTTTTCCAAGGCTTTTACGTCGTCTGGTGATGATCTAACAGCAAAACCTCTGAACACAGAGTGGTACGAATAAATAATCTCTGGTGCCTTGAGCTAGACGTGGTTGTTGGGAAAAATGAATGATACCGTCTAGATCTTCAAATTGAGTAAAAATTTGGCCATCGTATGCTTCAACATGAAAGATAGAAGTTTCGTTACTGTTTTTTTCAGGATTATCATTTGCAACTGTTGCCAATGAATGAAAATTTAGTACGTAAATGGCTGTGAGGAAGGACAAGATTCCCATGTTTGGTAATCCCACAAAACTTCCTTCTTTGTTTCTTTATAAATTTTATTTTGAATTCTCTGGCATTTGTTTGAATTTGTAACCTGCTTATATAAGTGATATCATTTATGTTATCTTATGATTAATGTCTGTTTCCTATATTGTCATAAGCTGCTAAAATAATGAGAAACCAACATTCTGAAGGAATCAACTTGCTCTTAAACACATGAAATCTGGTATGAATATTCATCGCAGTTGCTCCATAATTATACAGCTTCAACTGCAATATCTTATTTGTGCATTCACCCTTTTCTTAAAATAAAAATGAAATTACATGATAATGCAAAATATAAATGTTTTGTGGACCAGCATGTCTGATCTTCAAATCTAGACGGAGTTCTAAACATTGTCAATTTTTCCTTGGCTAAATAATGCATTGGAGGGTAATTGTTTAAAACACTGTTCCTCTTGCATTTGCTACATTTTCTAGCAATACATTGGAGATGCTTGTATAAACTCGTTTGCACACAATCAATTCTTGGACACAAGACTCGTTAACAATGAACTATTTACCGCTAAAGAAAATAATATATACAAGCCATCTGTTCGTTCACCTCAGTGAAGTAAAGTAGTGTTTGTTGACCAACTATATCAACGCCACGAATAGTGATGGCAAGAGGACGAGTTCGGAGCAGGGCATCCCCACCCCGCCCCGTTTGGCCAAAACCTAGCCGTGCCCCGCCCCGCCTTAGACAGGCCAAGGTGGGCATGGGGCATGGGTGGGGACTTTTTGCCCCGTTTAATTTTTATTTTATTTTTTATATTTTGAAAGTTTCGAATTATGTTATATTAGATAATAAAATACAAATTTAAAATGAATTTTTAACGGATGAATTGTTTAGAAACAAATTTTTTTTTTAATTTTTCTTCACGAGGCGGGGCATCCTCGCCGCGCCCCGCCGCGCCCCGTGCCCCGCGACGGGGCAGGTTTTTTTGCCCCATTCTGGGCCGGGCGGGGCAAATTGCCTTCACTAACCACAAACACTTTCAAGCACAAGACTATTAAGTTGATTGTGCATCACCAACATTTGTCTATTGTCCTTGAATATTGACAAGCAGCCCTTCCAGGTTCGATAGAAAATGTAGGATAATTCAACTGAGCTACAGGTATACCTGTAAATTCTGATCCATGGCTATTTATACAACGCTGCACAATGACAAATATCTGTGTTCTGTGCTATGATGCTTGGAATATCCAAAAATATCCGCTGATCGTAGCAACAGATCCTTTTTCTTCGTCAATTTCATCTTCTTCGTCCCTGTCCCCAAAGTGTAAGTCGAAGTCCAATGGAATCGAGATCCAAAAGCAGAAACACCGAAAAGCATAGAACGAAGTGAGAGAGAGACTTTACAAAGGAGATATTTAGGGAACAGTAATGGAAACCATCAAACAAATGGATGAAAAATGAGGGGCCTTTTCCGGAGTAAACAATATTGAACGAGTTATAAACAAGTCTAATGTGAACACGGGGAAAAAAACTAACACAATTTATTTAAGGTAAAACGCCGTTGCAGGCAATTTCAATTTCAACCACTGCTGTTGGATTCTTCTCCTCCTCTATTTTCCTCTTCCGTTTTGATCTGAGCCCCATTTTCCCACTTTGATTTCCATCCTGACATAATCACACCTTTACCATAATTGGAATCTTTCAGGAGTCCCATATTTTGGGTCGAATGGGTTGAACATAAGTGTGCGACACCTGACACTCTAGCCGAGATGAATCCAGGAATCTTTTCCATTGCCTTCACTTCCTCAGGTGATAATTTAGCAGCAAAACCTTTAAATATAATATCATAGGCATGGATAATGCGAGACCCCTCATCTCCTGTGGTTTTGGGCACAAATGTTTGATAGTAGCTAAGCAGATCATCTGAAGAACTGGGAGGTGGTTCAACGCGAACAATGTATGGTATAAGATTACTGTTGCACACGAGAAAAAGAAAAGAAAATCAAATATACAGAAGAAAGTAAGAAACTGCAAGAAACCCATTAATTCTTTACGATTGCTGCAAAAGAAAGCACAATCATGTTACAAAATTTTTGACAGAAAATCCTTAGACAACTCATGGAATGACATCATTGGAAGATGGAAAAAAAAAAAAGAATAGCCCAATCGCATTTTGCCACACATTCTGTTAAATTTTTCTTGTCCATGGACCTTTATTCATGAACGAAAGAAGCACTTCAAGGACTGAATATTATTGAGATTTTGAGACAAAAGAATTCGCAACAAGATGGACTTGGAGACTGAGAATGGACAAACTATTATATCTTGGATGGAAATTCCTTTTACTTTGGCTTTTTTTACCCCATATTATAGGGTGGATCTCGGAAGATATGGAATGCAATGAAGTTCAGATTATAGACGTGCACTATAATGACAGTTTCCAGGATTAATAACAGAAAACACTCCAGCAATTGGCTGCCAAAACTTTATTTTTTACTAGCCAAATCATATTTCCTGCCTAAATTCCCAACACACAGTGCACATGTCCACAAGAAAATACCAAATAAAACTGTATTGTCTCTCCATAGATTTTAAACATATAATTATTCAAGAAAGGGCCTCCCATAATTTTATGTGAGATAAATAAATAAAAATTGAAGGGATTTGATCTAGTTTTCATACACGCGCAACTAGAGGAAAAAAAATGTTAGAATCCCATAAATAATTGAGGAAAAAATGAGGGAAATTGATCGGATAAACGCCCTGTTACCGGACGAGTTAATTTAGAAAATTTTCCTGCACCTGGGTTCGGAGGGGCTCCGCCGCCGCCAATTCCTCCATGTTGGTGGCTTGGCCATCTCAATTGACCTCCGCTTGTCTATCCACATTTGTAACAAGTTCTTATACGAGATCATCTCAGTTTCGCACCCTGTCCAATCTGTAAGGAACCAAAATCAGACTCTAAAGCTTAGATCTCATAAACATAACCCAAGAAATACACAAATCTTATCATACTAATATCGACCGAACAGATACCAATCACAGCAGCCAACAAACGATTCAGGTTCACTGTTAAAATATGCTAAAATAAATTATTTATAGATCGATTAAATATCACAAACCCAAAATAGGAAGAAGATGAAGAACCCTAGAGAGACAGAGAAAGAAGAATCGAGACCCCAAGAAAATCCGAATTGAATATAAAAGAGTCCACCAAACGAGTAACAAGGGCATCACAGCCATTGAGAGAAACCACGATAACTAAAGATCACAGCCATTGAGAGAAAACACGATAACCAATGATCACAGCCGTTGAAAGAGCACAATTCGAGTTTTGACTAGTCAGCCAATGAAAAGGAGGAAACGGTTTCCACAATGCCATTTGACTAGGGAAGTCAACAAATTGAGTCTAACTCGGGCTTAGCTCGATTAAAATGGTCGAGTTTTTTTTACGAGCTCGAGCTGAGCCAAGTCGAGGGCCAAAAAATTTCAACTCGAACTTTTTCGAGCCGAGTTTTTACTTCTTCTTGCTGCCCTCCTTATTTATTTATTTATTTTATTTTTAAAAGGCTCACGGGCTTGCTTAGCTCAGCCCGTGTCTCCAAAATGGGGCTCGGCCAGAGCCTCGGCTCGATTGCTTCGAGCCACGAGCCAGGCCGATTCGGACTTTTCCTTAGCCGAGATGAAAGTCGGCCTTAGTGATCCAACGATGCCGAGTAGAAGGGCCGTCGCTCCATGGATAAAAGTTACTCTAAGGATAACATGTTGATCTTCCCTAAGAGCTCACATCGATGGGAAGGTTTGACACCTCGATGTCGGCTCTTCGCCATCTATGGGCCGCTCGAGCCGCCAAGCCTTTTTGGCACTCCTAGCTTTGACCCACATTTATTTAAGAGAAAAATGCTCAAAATGTAAATAAAAGACCAATGGACTAAATTACCCTCGAAGAAAAGAAAAGAGAATTGAAGAGGGGGAAAAATTAATTTGTGTAGCGGCTCTAAGTTGTGTAATGTATGACGAGGACACAGCGTAGGTCCTGATAAATTTGAGGCCTAGAAGACTAATAAAACAAAATATGATAAACTAATAAATTTTAAAAATGGCTAATTAAACATAACCATCAATTAAACTATGATAGATATTCTTTACACAATTCCATCTTCATCAAATAATAATAAGCTCGATGATGATGATAAACCAAGGGATTATTAGGATATTTATCATGCTTCAACCTTTTCATTCCTTTCGGTACGTATAAAATTTATTTCCTTGCAGTTTCATTTGTAAATAATATTACTTCATTCTTTTTGTACTATATATACGTTAAGCAATGAAAGTTAAGAAACATTTTTTTTTTTCCATTCGAGAAGGAAATTTCCTTTGTCCTCTTCAAATTTTTGGAACTCCAACAGAATGTGAAAGCACACAAGTACGTGCACCAAGTATTCTCTTATTTATTTTGCATCTTCCTTGTCTTCCCAATTTAAATTCAACCATTAACACTTAATAAAATACATATAAACAAAGCTATCGAACCATTAACTATATTTTTAATAGACAAACATAAGTAAAAAAAAAAAAAAAATCCAACATAAAATTTAATATCCCAATATTATGGATCTAATCTATTTATAGAATTCAATGGATCGATAAACCTATAAAAACGACTTTCATTCATTCTCAAATTAAAAATCCGCATTTTATTGCACATTAGAGTCATTCTCTACTAAATGAACAATGGAGAAACATACCATCTTAAAAATAATACATGAGACGAGAGAGAAATTAAGGAGCACGAAATGATTACTTGTAGCTTCTTCTGCAAATCTACTTCTATGAACTCTACAATCAGGAAATTTTCAAACGTTTTTGAATCTTCTCACCGTCTTTCTTCTAACCTATATAAAAGGGATTATTTTGAGTAAGTGGGTGGATTTTGGACGGTATTAGGGGCTGTTTCGACTACTCATTTTTTTAGGGCCCATGTAATTTTGAGGCCCAAGACGGCTGCTTAGTTCACTTTGGGCCAAAACCAGGCCTGTGAAAACACTATTTTAATGGCTTCGATTGGGTTATTTTAATTTAATATTAATTATGGTTTAAATTTTTTCTTGAATTTTTAATTTTGTTGACAAAAAAATAAATTTTCCCTTTTTATAATTTTTTCTTCTATTTAATCCCCTTTTTTTGTTTTTTTTAGATATATTTTCATTTTTATAATTTCGTTCTATAATTATTTATTTTTATTTTTAAATATTGATTATAGTTTAATTTTTTCTTGAATTTTTAATTTTGTTGACAAAAAATAATTTTTTGCTTTTTATAATGCTTTCTTCAATTTAATCCCTTTTTTTTTTGTTTCTTACATATATTTAGTTGTTTTTTAAAAATTATTTTTTATTTAATATTAATTATTGTTTATTTTTCTCTTGAATTTTTAATTTTGTTGACAAAAAATATTGGTGATAACTCTTTGCAAACGGATATTTCGTAGGTGAAATAAATCTTTTTTTTAATTAATTTTATAACCTCTTCACCGACGGTCAATCTAATCAAGTGTGAAAATGCATAGATGGAGTAGTTTACCAATTACACAACATTCATTTTCTTGAGAATTCCATGTTTAAAAATTAAAGCAAGTAATGTATGACATTCATTTCGTATAGTTCGTCACGGTCCTTCCCGCTCCTCGTCTTTTCGGAGATTTTTGAAAGGTGATAAAATATCTCATCTACTACTCATTTAATTAATTTTAACATAATTTTATATTTTTAAATAAGATTAAAGTTTAAAAATATAAAAGAAAACAATAAAAGGATTCAGAATGGGATTGGGAAATGCAGGTCGGCAATGATAAGTTTATTTCTACATTTAATTGGATCGTCAATAATTGATGTTTTGGAGTGTTTTATTTTTATTTATACTTACTTTTGTTTGTATATTTATTCTTTAATTTTGGAGAAATCCGATAGTAGATTAGTTAAAAGCGAACATAAATCATGGAATACGAGGGAAAAAATGTCAAAACTGAAAAGTTGGAGGGCTATTAATAAAATTTAGAAAGGACATTATCTGTACAAAAGAGGAAAGGCGAGGACAATATTAAATAGAAGGGGAAAATATGTAAATTTATTTTCATTTTTTTTTTGTTGACAAGGGAACCCGCAACCGCTACCCGAAGGTGCGCATTGGGTAAAACCCTGTAAATTTATTTCCTTTTTTCTTTTCTTCATCTTGTACCAAAATTCAATTTCCCACACAACATCACAATCACATTTGAAACAAATCTCTTTTCCCCCATTTTTAGAATCACGGTTTCAATAGAATTATTCTCCCACCAGAACCCTATATGTTGTAATTTCATCTCTCTTTAATTAAAGTTGTAGTTTTCGCTTCTCTCCCATGGATTTGGCGTCTGAATGACCAATTTCAGTTTGAATAATGCTAGTGGTACACCATGGTATTCAACATGGTGTACAAAATGGACACACGGCACCTCGGTATTGGCCGAGGTGTTGGTGGGCTCCGATGTGGGAGGCACCTTAGCCAATACCGAGGTGCCGTGTGTCCATTTTGGACACCATGTTGGATACCATGGTGTACCACAAGCATAACCCTTTCAGTTTTTCTATATCGAAGGCAAACTATCAACACTTTCCCGTCCTTAGTGTTTCCTTATTCTCGAGCGATGCGTAGCAAATCCTAGGCTTCTTCACCTCTTTTGTCTTTGAATTTCTTCTTCATTGTGACGTTTTGAATTTCATTTTTGTTTAGTCCATTGAAGGTCATGTTGACCCAAAAATGTTGCCAACAGATACCGGACCCACCCGCGCACACGTGAGCGAAAGTCCAACACGCTAAGACACGTGGACGATCTAAGACGAATGGATCAAGGGCGTGGGATTAGCTCAACGACGCGGGATGAGAACGTTCGAAATTCGACGGGATGTTCGTAGTCCGATTGTACAATAATTACCAATTGGTATTCATGAATGTGTATGTAAATATGTATAAACTCGTATTGTGTTGCGAGATAATATGAAGGAGAGAGTAAAGTGTGGTTTCTTGTATTGATTCTTGCATTAGCCTCTTTATGGGGTACATGTGGGGAGTATTTATAGTGTCACCTTTGGTTCGGGGTACATGTGGCCTCATCCGGTTAATTTGCATGTCAAATTGTAGGCATCAGCCGTACCTAGCCTGCTATACATTTATTGATTGGTAGAGCCGCCTCTACTAGTGATTAGACCTAACATTTACACTCATGACTAACGTCCTATCAATTATTCAAACAAGATCTTTATGCAGAGGATCTCCTGAGAAGAGTGTCTGCGGAGGAAGCTGCCAGGTGGTTTGAAAGCTTCCACCTCAGTGCCAAAGCTTTGGATGAAAGCTGCCTCGGTCATTTTCAAGGGCCTCGGCATATGGGCTTGGAGATCTTCAACAGAGTAACAATATATGGGCCTCGGAGTATATTGGCATAGGCGTCTGTGGACCTCGGTTGGTGGGCCTCAGATATGCCAGTCACCTCGGCTCTAGTGCCACGTGGATCGACAGCTGTTTATGGGCCTCGGTAGGTTGCCCAAGTGTGCAAACACGTAACAATAGTCCCCCAAGTCCGAGTATAGTCATTTATGTAATGCGAGGACTTTGAAGTGGTTAAATCGAAAGAAATTTTTTGAACCCCAAATAATAGTTCCCCAAGTCCAAGTGTGGTTGGAGTTAGAAATGTGCTATGGTGTTCTGATGGGGAAGTCGAGGTTGTTGGGGAACCGAACCGATGAGGCTTGATGGCTGAATGTTGGAGATGAAGCCGAGGTGGTTGTGGAACCGAACCTACGAGGCTTGATGGCTGAATGTTAGAGATGAAGCCGAGGTGGGTGTGAACCGAACCTAAGAGGCTTGATGGCTGAATGTTGGAGATGAAGCCGAGGTGGTTGTGGAATCGAACCTGCGAGACTTGATGACTAAATATTGAAGATGAAGCCAAGGTGGGTGTGAACCAAACCTGCGAGGCTTGATGGCTGAATGTTGAAGATGAAGCCGAGGTGGGTGTGAACCGAACCTGTTAGGTTTGATGGCTGAATGTTGAAAATGAAGTCGAGGTGGGTGTGAATAATTATTCCTTGGCAGTTGTGCCAATGATTTGATGTTTTGCGCATGTTTTCGAGGAAAGGTGGCTGAACCGTTGCAACTTCCAAGGTGCTTGCTACCATCGAATTAAAATTGTAATTATTAGAACAACTGGAGCTTCTAGAAGCAGACGCGTTGGAGGAGGTGCGTGGGAGACAAGCTTAAATCTGAGGCGTAGGTTTGAAAAATCGTTCGAATTCTACGCCTCAATTTGATTCATAATGAATGGTCCAGATTGAATGAGCTTTGATCTGACGGTTGGGGTTCGTCCTGACCCTTTATAAAAGGCGAGAAAGCTCCCTTTTTCTAGATTTTTGAGCACTTGCAATCTGATTCATTCTCCCAAAGCTTAAACTTTCCGGTGTTGAAGCTATCCGTTCTGTGGTTTTCCGGCACATTTCTGTTTGTGTAGTTTTCCCATAGGTATTTTTTCACAGAAAATCCCCTTTTATTGCGTTCTTAGTCGTTTTCTGCAATGGAGTCCACCTTGGGTAGGGAGTTGGTCACTGTAGTGTCATTTGACCATGGGGCTAGTCACAGGGGCGACTCCGAGGTTAAGCAGTATGCTATGACCGAGAAGGCAGTAGACTATAGGGAAGAGTGGGGGGCGTCTAGGGTGCCTTCAAATATGACAGGGAAGAGGCTCGAGGGAATTAGGGAGAGGTACTGTGTACTTCATTATGTGAAAATGTTAGTTCCCGAAGCCCATGAGCGGGCCTATTATCCGAGGCCCGGATGTGTGGAGGTGAGTGAATACCTGTTTAAGGCAGGTATGCGTCTTCCTCTGCACCCTTTCTTTAGGGCGGTGCGGAGGAACTTCATATTGTTGCCGACCCAGGTTTTGTCAAACGGGTGGAGCCTGTTGGTCGGTTTGTACTTCCTGTGGAAGGAAGTATCACATGGAGAGGACATGCCTCTTCACGTCTTCATGACCCTGTTCCAGCCTAGGGTAATAGGTAAGGAGTCGAGGGGGTGGTATTACCTAACTCCTTAGGGGGCTCATGCACCATTTGTGGTGGGACTGCCTTCTTCCATTAAGGGGTGGAAGGAGTCGTGGTTCTGGGTGAGAGGTAGGTGGCATGTAGTGGAGGGGGACAAAGCCCTGGCTAGCACAGTACAGACCCAGTACTACGAAACTCGCGAGTCTCCCAGTCCAAGTAGTTTGCAATCTGTATCAAACATTTTATTTTTCTAATTGTTGAGGCGTCCATTGCAGATAGTAGTACGAGGTTCGAGCTGAGCAGGGAGGAGTTTGAAGTGATAGAGGACATTTACAAGAGACCCCTGAAGCTTCGCCATTTCGACCACCTCATCGACCGAAGTCGCTACTTCCTGGATTTTGAACTAATGGCTTCTAAGGGTATGAAGCTCCCACACTTGTATATTTTATTGTTTTCGTTTTGATACTGATGCACTGTGTTCTGCAGACAAGTTTAAGAGGAGGGAATACCCAGCTCCTGATATGGCGTCCATACTTAAGGCCACCTCCACTGCGAAGGCGAGACCCCTGAAACCGAGGTCAAGTAACGCCAAAGAAGTCCGAGGTAGGGTCGAGCGTCTCTCCAAGGATAGTACTTCGTGGGCTTTTGAAGAGGGGACCTCCCAGAGGCCAGAAAAGTCCAAGGAGCTTGGGGAGAAGGAGAAAGTTCCTAAGGAGTTGAAGAAGAGGAAGCTGGTGCATGTCACCAGCTCGTCTGGTAAGTTTGGGACTTCTGTGTCCCACGAAGGCAAAGAAGCCGATCAGCCGAAGCTACTGGCAGCCGCCTCTAAAGCGGTTAAGATTGAAATGGTTAGACATGCCTAGGCTGAAGAGGCGAAGGAAGAGGCTGCGAGGAGGGCAGCTGAGGTGGCAGAGGAGGAGGCTGCCAAACAGAGGCCTCTTGAGTGCAAGGGAAGTCTCCGAGCTTCCTTGCCGGAAGGGAGGAGGTTCTGGCTCCAGCTTTGGTGGAGGTTCTGCCACCTGAGATCCGAGGCGCTACTAAAAGTTTTTATAAATTCTGGAAGGATCGGTGGCAGTTGCATGCCTCCTTGTGTGATACCATGGACTTGACGAGGGCCCTTGTGAGCCAAAGTGTAAAGACCTTTGGCCTCATACTGGAGTGCAGGGAGGCCCTCACTAACTTTCAGACGAGGACCCAGTCCTTGGAGAAGAAGACGGCCTCCTTTGCGGAGGAGCTGAAGGTAGCTAGAGCCGAGGCGGAGGAAGCGAGGGCCCAAAAACTTGAAGAGGCGGCAAAGCTGGAGTCTACCTTGGCTCAGATCGAGGTGTTGAAGAAGGAGTTGCATAAGTCCCAGTGCGAGGTAGCCTCCTTGATTAAGAAAGTAGAGGTTTCCAATGACCACTAGAAGGTGACTGCCAAAACCTTGAAGAAGGCAAATTTGGCACTGGCTGATGCCCAAGACGCGTATAAGTTCTTGGGGGGCCAGATAAAATGGTATGTGGATGACGCCACCAGGGCAAGGGAGGAGGCCCATGAGGCGAGGGAGGAGGCGGTGAAGGACTACATCGCCAACTTCTATAATACCGAGGAGTACAAGAGTTTCAGCACTTACCGGAGAAACTTTGCTTATGCCGAGGTGATGGAGCGAACTGAGTAGTTGTATCCCAATCAGGATCTGTCGCAGCTCAGGTCGGAGTTTGTGGATGAAGTACCTCAAACCCCAGCTAATGAAGTGGTGGGAAATGAAGTAGTAGGGGCAGAAGAAGCAAATTCTGATGCTCAAGCTGCGGAAGCCCCAGCTGCTGAGGCACCTCCATTATCATCCCAGGCTTAGGATAGTTTTCTTTTTAGTTATCCATGATGTAATGGCCTCAGGCCCCCCTTTTGTAATCTTGATTGGAAATCAATATAGTATCTTTCATTCAATGTTTTTCTCTCTCAAGTGCATTGACTCATTAAGCAATTGGATTCAATATAATATTGAGGACTCGATGAGGAGAAATATACAACAAATTAATCATTACGATAATTGAAGTTATAGCATTCTTGTTTCCATAGTTTACTGGATTGAAGTTTTTATGTTTTCGAGCAAGGAATGACTAATTGCCTTTCATTTCCATACTGAACATGGTTTTTACATTATTACTGAGAATCATTTACTCTTCCTCTTTCCTTGACCTTCATCTCCTCAAGTGTTCTGTACAATATTAATGAAGAAGCTCAGGCTTCAAGAAAATCCTTTCCATGAGTAAAAAATAAAACCGTTCAAATGATTGCGTCTTCTTTATGACTTTCCATTTCCACACTTTCTTCATCTGCCATATCTCTGTCTTTCTATTTATGACATAATTTTTGCCATTCTATTCAAGTTTTTGCCTATGAAGGTTCCAACCATCCTAGGACCATTAATTTTTGTCATTCTATTACTTTGGTACAATTTTAAATAGCGTTTTTATTGAAGTTTTGGGCAGCTCCACAGCCGTATGTATTACTCAAACTTCAATGGCATTATCCACTCAACCATAGACATAGATGCTGATGTAGTCACTATTGAGAATTCCAAGTTAGATGAGAAGCTTCGTTCAATTTGCTGTAAGGGAGTGAAGTATGATGTGAGCATGGGCCTCGGTGGTACTGGTGCATGATATTTGTTGTCTTTAGGGTGTGATAATGGGGGTTTATGTAAAAATATCACAACTGCAGTGCTAATAGACTAGCCCTCTACTCCGCCCCCTCTTCATAGAATCCCTGTTTTTAATTGAATTCATATTTTTTAATTTAGTTTATTTGTAGATATCTGATCTTATTTCTCCTCCTTCACACTTAACTGTTTCTTTTGTAATATATGATGTTTGGTAATTTGAAAATTATGATTAGTGAGTCATTACTAGAAATTTTAGTTTACAATTCAAAGGGGAAATGATGTATTGGATTGCCTGGTTGTAGTTTTATTTGTTGCTTTATTGTGCATCACTATCATCCACAATTGGTGCTTACCTTCATATTATTTAGAACGTTGGCGGATTCTTGACAACCCTTGGGATGTATGGATAATATCATTGTTGGAAGAATTTTGTGAATAGTGACGCCGAAATAAGTATAATGATGGTGACAAAGCCGAGGCAAGAGTTGGACTCTTTGTCCTTAAGTCGAATTTGCCCCGCAAAGGTGCCTACGGATTTCGGCAATCGACTCCCAAGATACAACGGCTGCACTTGTGTTTGTAGCACTCCAAAACACAAGTACAACGAACCCAATGTAGGCTTATGTACTCCACAGATGAAATGAAAGAAAATCAAAATAAATGAAATGATTTTGATTTTGGATAGAAGAGAGGATGAGAGACGTTTTTGCATATCAAACTGTTGAACACACAAGATAGAGGCTTGAGTGCTGGACCAAATTCTAATCGTGCACATGCAGATCAAAGTAATTAACTTATCATCGACGGCTGCAACTGGGAATTTTTTTTTTTTTTTAAATAATGTTTGACAATGAAGTTGAGTATTGATGATTATTAACTTTGGAAAAGCGAGTACACGAAAATATGCTATGTTATGTATCAAAGGTTTAAGAAGTCACCAAAAAAAGTTAATGCAAATCTATTTTCAGGAAACGCTAATACTACCCTCGAAATAACAAACCACGGGCAATAGACTGGTATGTATATATATACAGTTCCGATCTACTAAGCACTGTGCTTAGTTGGCAATTAAGATAATATGGAAATCAATTGACATATTTCAATAATGAAAATAATTTTAAATCAAAATTACCCACCGAATCTATCCAAATATAGAAAAATATGGGTACGTGTTTATCTCTTTCCAACTTCACGTTCTCTCCTCACATTTCCTTCTCCTATGTTTACGTCGTTCTCTCTCTCGAGTCTTGCCTGTCTTGCCGGATATACGTGAAGTTAATGGTTCTTGTTCCGTCTAGATTGGGGAAAATTGCAGAATCATTTTTGTTTGTTGTGTGACTAGGGGTTCAGAAATCGATCTAGCCTTCATCTCGTCTAGCCGAATATAAGCAATGTATTAGGTCTTTGTTCCGTTGATCACACGAGATTTTGGTTGAGGAAAATAACATTTTTAACTCTCACTGTAATTGATTTCTTGTTTCTTATGCGAGTGGTGGTC